ATACCCATGCCTGGCTAATTTTTGTATTTTTAGTAGAGACAGGATTCCACCATGTTGACCAGGCTGCTCTCGAATTTCTGACCTCAGATGATCTGCCCACTTGGCCTCCCAAAGTGCTGGGATTACAGTTGTGAGCCACTGCACCCGGGCTCCAGCTAATTAAAAAAGTTTTTTTTGGTAGAGATTGGGTCTCGCTGTTACCCAGGCTGATCCTGAACTACCAGCCTCAAGGGAGCCTCCTGCCTCAGCCTCTGGCATAGCGGGGATCACAGACAGGAGTCACTGTGCCTAGCAGAATTTGTAATTTTTTTCTTTTTTTGGAGTTTCGCTCTGTCACCCAGGCTGGAGTGCAATGGTGCAATCTCACTCAGCTCACTGCAACCTCCACCTTGAGGGTTCAAGCCACTCTCCTGCTTCAGCCTCCAAGTAACTGGGACTAAAGGCCCACACTACCACACCCAGCTAAGTTTTTGTATTTTAGTAAAGACGAGGTTTCACCGTGTTGCCCAGGTTGGTCTCGAACTCCTGAGCTCAGGCAATCTACCTGCGTTGGGCTCCCAAAGTGCTAGGATTACAGGTATGAGCCACTGTGCCCGGCTGGGATTAGTACTTTTTCTAAAGCTACACAATATTATAACTTTTTATTTATACTTTATGTCTACTGCTAATAGATTTCCTAGGATTTATTCCCTCTTTATTTATTATATTTATTTATTGAGAGACAGAGTCTTGCTCTGTAGCCCAGGCTGGAGTGCAGCGGTGCAATCTCGGCTCACTGCAACCTCTGCCTTCAGGATTCGAGTGATTCTCCTGCCTCAACCTTCAGAGTAGCTGGGATTACAGACACGTGCCACCATGCCCAGCTGGGATTTTTTTGTATTTTTAGTAGAGACAGGGTTTTGCCATGTTGGTCAAGCTGGTCTCCATCTCCTGACTTTGTGATCCACCTGCCTCGGCCTCCCAACGTGCTGGAATTACAGGTGTAAGTCAACAAGCCCCAGCTCTCCTCTCTTTAAAATAGTGTTTAAGGCCGGGCGCGGTGGCTCACGCCTATAATCCCAGCACTTTGGGAGGCCGAGGCGGGTGGATCACAAGGTCAAGAGATCGAGACCATCCTGGTCAACATGGTAAAACCCCATCTCTACTAAATATACAAAAAAAATCAGCTGGGCATAATGGCACGTGCTTGTAGGCCCAACTACTCGGGAAGCTGAGGCAGGAGAATCACTTGAATCCAGGAGGCAGAGATTGCGGTGAGCTGAGATCGTGCCATTGCACTCCAGCCTGGGTAACAAGAGTGAAACTCTGTCTCAAAAAAAAGTGTTTAATTCTGGGTCTTACCTAAGTGTTTGAAATGATAAATAGGATAAAATCATCATCAAACAAATACATGGTCAGACCACCTTTGCCATGTGGTCAGAGTCATCCTTGGTACTTGATAGGATAAAAAACACATTACCGGGTCTTATAGAATGAGTGATTTTTAAGAGCTATGAAGAATTCAGAAATCAGGGTAAAGAGTGTGTGATACTATTGTTAGAGAATACATTAATTTCAATTTATAAACAGGGGGTCAGGCACGGTGGCTCATGCCTGTAATCCCAGCACTCTGGGAGGCTGAGGTGAGTGGATCACAAGGTCAGGAGTTTGAGAGCAGCCTGGTCAATATGGTGAAAACCCCTCTCTACTAAAAATATAAAAATTAGCTGAGCGTGGTGCCCGCACCTGTGGTCTCAGCTGCTTGGGGGCTGAAGCAGGAGAATTGCTTGAACCTGGGAGGCAAAGGGTGCACCGAGGTGAGATTGAGCCACTGCACTCCAGCGTGGGTGACAAAACGGGACTCTGTCTCAAAGAAAAAACAAAACAAAACAAAACAACAACAGAAAGCCTAAGCCACTGTTTCTAAGTAAGCATTTCTTCTTCTTTTTTCTTCTCTCTTTTTTTTTTAAGATTGTGATTTTAAGATACTCCCTGATTTGGGGGTAAAGCACACAGAAAATTATTCAGTTCCAATGCTGCATTTTTTCTTATGAGAAAAAACATAGTATTGGCTGGGTGCAGTGTCTCAGGCCTGTAATTCCAGCACTTTGGGAGGCTGAGGCAGGAGGATCACTTGAGTCCCGGAGTTTGAGACCGGTCTGGGTTACAGTGAGGTCCTGTGTCTACAAAAAAAAAAAAAAAGAAAAAAAAAGATAAATAAAAACTATAGTATTTTATTTATACTCTTTTAGTCAGGAATATCATAAACATGCGGTTGTTGAATAAATTAAAAATGAAATGGTATTCTCTAGGAAAGCCTGGTTTGCAGGTAAATTACAGAAATCTCTTCATTTACAGGCTTTGAGTTAAAAAGTAAAGACAGATTTTTCTATACTTAGCTGTTGGAGCATTCATCTTTTTAAAATTTAACCCAGGCTAGGCCTAGTGGCTCACTCCTCTAATGCCAACACTTTGGGAGGCCAAGGCCTGCAGATCACTTGAGGTCAAGAGTTCGAGACCAGCCTAGCCAACATGGCGAAAACCTGATGCTACTAAAAATACAAAAAGTAGCTGGGCATGGTGGTGAATGCCTATAATTCTAGTTACTTGGGAGGATGAGACAGGTGGACCACAAGGTTAGTGTTCAAGACCAGTCTGGCCAGTATGGTGAAACCCCATCTCTACTAAAAATACAAAAATTGGTCAGGCATAGTGGTGCATGCCTGTAGTCCGAGCTACTCAGGAGGCTGAGGCAGGAGAATTGCTTGAACCTGGGAGGCAGAGGTTGCACTAATCTGAGCTTGCCCCACTGCACTCCAGCCTGAATGGCACGGTGAGACTCCATCTCAAAAACAAAACAAAAACCACAAACGCAAAAATATAACCCAGGTGCCTGGATAAAAATAAAAATTTAAAAAGGGCTGGGTGCGGTGGCTCATACCTGTAATCCCAGAACTTTGGGAGGCTGAGGCGGGCAGATCACTTAGGTCCAGGAGTTCAAGACCAGCCTGGCCAACATGGTGAAACCTGTCTCTAAAAAAAATAGAAAAATTAGTCACACGTGGTGGCATACACCTTTAACCCCAGTTACTTGGGAGGCTGAGGTGGGAGTATTTCTTGAGCCTTGGAGGTCAAAGCTGCAGTGAGCCGATATCACACGACTGCACTGCAGCCTGGATGACAGAGCAAGACCCTGTCTCAAAAAAAAAAAAAAAGGTGGGGTGGAGGATGAGGATGACACTTGAACCCAGTCTTCAGACTCCTATGTTTTTCATATGACAGTGCCTCATCTTAAGGTACATGGAAAGTAAATGAAATAATTGTTAGAAAATTAATGTTTAATATGTTTCAGGCTGAAATGAAGTTTGTAAGGTTATCATATAATCTATCTTCCATTATTTAATTTTCTTTTTTTTTTTTTGAGATGGAGTTTTGCTCTTGTTACCCAGGCTGGAGTGCAATGGCGCAATCTCGGCTCACCGCAACCTCTGCCTCCTGGGTTCAAGCAATTCTCCTGCCTCACCCTCCCAAGTAGTTGGGACTACAGGCGTGCCCCACCATGCTTGGCTAATTTTTTGTATGTTTAGTAGAGATGGGGTTTCACCATATTGACCAGGATGGTCTCGATCTCTTGACCTCGTGATCCACCCGCCTCAGCCTCCCAAAGTGCTGGGATTATAGGCGTGAGCCACCGCGCCGGGCCCCAATTTTCTTAATTTGTGATATAAAAATAGTATGTTACCATATGCTGTTTATAGCATCTTCCCTTTTAAACAAAAATACCCATTTCCTGTTTTTTTCTCCCCTTGATATTTGAAGGTTTCATATTATTTTACTTTTTTATCATTAACAATTTGATACAAAAACGTGTCCTTGGCCGCCAGACACAGTGGCTCACGCCTGTAATCCTAGCACTTTGGGAGGCCAAGGTGGATCACCTGAGGTCAGGAGTTCCAGCATGGCCAACATGGTGAAATCCCGTCTCTACTAAAAATACAAAAATTAGCTGAGCTTGGTGGCGGGTACCTGTAATTCGAGCTGCTCCGGAGGCTGAGGGAAGAGAATTGCTTGCACCCGGGATGAAGAGGCTGCAGTGAGCAGAGATTGTGCCACTGGACTCCAGCCTAGGCGACAGAGCAAGACTCCGTCTCAAAAAACAAACAAAAAACATAAAATATGTCCTAAAGTGTTCCACATGGTATTAATTAATCCTCACATAGAGGAGTTAGCAAGGTCAGTTTATACATGAGATAAACTTAGCAAGGTTAAGTGCCCAGATCCAGGCCACACAAGTGGTCGTTCTATATTCTAAATCCAATGCTTTACCTTCTAGGCTTCTTAAAGTTAAGAATGGGTAGGTGGGTGACAAACTACTACTAATCATGTAAGATAAAGTGATAAAGATGAACAGTTGTCGCATTCTAAAAAGGTGAAAACGTGCCAAGACATATGGACTCTTGATAATACTGCAGTTTTTAAGAAACGTGAGCTGGTCTTGAAGAGACCGATAGGGAGGCAGGGCTCAAACATTCAAAAGAGCTGCGAAGTAAACTCAACTCCGCGAAAGCGCTGCACTGACTGGCAGATTCCACACGAGACACTGGCCTCCCACGTGTCTTTCAGGAAACACACAAAACTCGAGGGATAAAGGAAGCCAAGAAGGGGTTGCGGGAGAAAAAAAAAAAGCGAACAGAGCTTCCCTGGGAGGTTGAGGGTGCGCGAAGACTGGGACGAGCGGAAGGAACTCGCAGAGCATCTGTCGGGCACCGAGGTCTGGGAACAGGCCTGCAGGCAGCTCGGTTCGCGGAGAGAGCGGGCTGCCCGTGGGCCCCACCCTGTGGAGTCCCCACCAGGAGATCTGCTCCCCTGGATCGGGTGGGCAGGGGAGGGCAGAGCGCAGAAGAGAAAAGTAGGGAAGGAGACGCTAGAAGAGCCACAGGTGGTCGCCGGTGAGTCCGAGGTTCGCGGAGTCAGGGGCCGGCAGCACCCGCAGGCCCTTTGAGACACCGTAGCCCCGCCCCTCTGGCGCGTGGCGCCCATGACGCTAGGTGCGCGGGCTCTTTTCCTTACAGAGGTCGCTCTGGTCCGAACGGTCGGCCTCTGCTGCGCCTGCGTGGTCGGGAGGGGAAGTGAGGCGGTTTCCTCAGCGCCTTTTCCGGCAGCGGCGGCGGCAGAACTGGGAGGAGTAGGTGGAGGCCGCAAGGAGCCCGCGCTCGGGGCGGTGGCTGGAGGTAACCTCCAGGGCCAAGCTGGAAAGGCGGGCCACCTAGGTCTTCGCTCCTCTCTGGAGCTCTGGCGGTAACTCCCTCTCCCTCTCTGTTCTCTGCAGGCAGCGCACCGAGTTCCAGCGAGGATCCATGACCTGACGGGGCCCCGGAGCCGCGCTGCCTCTCGGGTGTCCTGGGTCGGTGGTGAGCCCAGTGCTCGCAGGCCGGCGGGCCGCAGTCTCCCTCGGGGTGAGAGTAAGGAAGGCGGAGGAGCGGGAACCGCGGCGGCGCTCACGCGGCGCCTGCGGGGGGAAGGGCAGTTCCGGGCCGGGCCGCGCCTCAGCAGGGCGGCGGCTCCCGGCGCAGACTCGGCCTGGGTGGCAGCGGCGACTGGAGGAATCAAGTTGTGCGGTCGGTGATGCCCGAGTGAGCGGCGGGCCTGGGCCTCTGCCCTTAGGAGGCAACTCCCACGCAGGCCGCATAGGCGCCCTAGCGGCCGGGAGGCTTCGTTTCGGTTTCGCGGCGGCGGCGGCGTTGTTGGCTGAGGGGACCCGGGACACCTGAATGCCCCCGGCCCCGGCTCCTCCGACGCGATGGGGAAGGTGCTATCCAAAATCTTCGGGAACAAGGAAATGCGGATCCTCATGTTGGGCCTGGACGCGGCCGGCAAGACAACAATCCTGTACAAGTTGAAGCTCGGCCAGTCAGTGACCACCATTCCCACCGTGGGTTTCAACGTGGAGACGGTGACTTACAAAAATGTCAAGTTCAACGTGTGGGATGTGGGCGGCCAGGACAAGATCCGGCCGCTCTGGCGGCATTACTACACTGGGACCCAAGGTCTGATCTTCGTAGTGGACTGCGCCGACCGCGATCGCATCGACGAGGCCCGCCAGGAGCTGCACCGCATTATCAATGACCGGGAGATGAGGGACGCCATAATCCTCATCTTCGCCAACAAGCAGGACCTGCCCGATGCCATGAAACCCCACGAGATCCAGGAGAAACTGGGCCTGACCCGGATTCGGGACAGGAACTGGTATGTGCAGCCCTCCTGTGCCACCTCAGGGGACGGACTCTATGAGGGGCTCACATGGTTAACCTCTAACTACAAATCTTAATGAGCATTCTTCACCCATCCCCTGGAAGAAGAGAAATCAAAAACCCATTCATAGGATTATCGCCACCATCACCTCTTTGAATTGCCACTTTCTCTTCTTTTGAATTTGAACTCTGGAGTTACTGTTCTACGGTTTGGGGGGAGGGGGCTTGGGGGGGTTTTCTCTTTTGTTTTCCTTTTTCCTTTTTTTTTTTTTGCTTTGCGTTAGGATGCTTTGATCTGACATTTGACATGAACACAAAGTGCTAGATGCTCTTGCTGACTTCCAGCAGATGGGATGGGGGAAATACAGCAATTATTGGTAAAGACCTTTGTAATAATGGTTTGATTTTTTTTATTTCAAGAGAATCTTTCATTTTCCTATGTATGCTTTTTTTCCTTTTTTGCCCAGTTTCCTTATCACTTGCTGTAGATGGCTTATTTTGCATTCATGCAGACTATGTTGCAAGTCTGTTTCATCTAGTAAACTGAAAATTATTGCTTAATCAAACTGCCGTTTGTCTTTTATATTTAAGGCCTTTCCCTCTTCCTTATGAATTCTAACTTAGTAATTTCAAATGTGACCTTTTATATCTAAGACCAGTATAGTAAACTTAGCCCACAGTGGCAAATCATGAGTAATATCATTGTAATATGTTCCAGTTGCACCTCAGTATGTTAAACAGGTAATGTAAGAAGTTCTTTGAAATGTCAGCAAATAAGTTCTGAAACGTACATCATGCATGAGTAGGAATAAAACCCAAGTTCCCCATAACGTAGCTAACTTAACGCTGCATCATAATATGAAAGTGTAACCCGTCAAGGACACACTTTTTTTTTTCACTGCAAAGTTAGTCACTTTGCTGTTTTTCCTCTTTTTTTAAACTTTAAAAATAGACTCTTTCCAGAAATTGGAGCAATAATGGTGTATGCCTCACACAGATGAAATATTTAATAGATATTTTAAGTGACTTTTGGGCAAAACTGGAATGTATACTTTTACCTTGTTTGAAATGTCTAAGACCAGTAATTTAAAAGTTACTAAAAGGTTTACTTTAGTCATTAATAAAGCATTTAACAATTCAAATTATATGCACCTTTTACCTAGTTGAAAAAAAAGGAACATTCCTGTTTTCATATTATAGCAACTGATTAAACTGAAGCTATAAGTCATTTTTTATAGATGAGTGATCCACATCTCCATCAATTAGAACACTGGAAAAGATGTTTTATAAAAAACGTATTTAATTTTGTTTGTAGGATTAACTCATGCAAATCGTCAGATATCCTGTTGGTTCAATAGTACACTGTCTCCTTTAAGGAAGGAAATGTGATGAATGAATGATGTGTAGACTTGAGGGATGACTATTAAAGGGGACGTAGGATGAAGAGAGAGAACCTACAGATGACAATGAATGTAAACTTATTTTTCTTAATGTGTAAGCAGTGTGCTTGCTGGTGATATCCAGATCCTAACAAGATTATTTGGTTAGCTGGTTAGGACCAATAACTGGATTGAGACCACTATGATAATATTTTGAACCAAATGTTAATGCTTGGTGCAGAATTGTGAAGCAGCATCTGGTTCTTATATAGCCTTAAGGATTAATTTGAGTGATCCTCAAGGAATTAAATAGGGAATTTCAGAAATGTAGACTGCAAAGGCAGTATACAGGAAAAGGTGGAGTGGGTTTTGTTTAATGAGGGTGTCTGAAAACTCAAATTGAGCGGGATATCATGGTATGGTTGGACAGTATTGGTCCTTCACACTTTGGCCATATTGTATAATGGAGCTTTTACCAAAGATGTGTGAGAAGTGTAAGGCTATAAAAAAATGAACTATTCAAAGTAAAACTTGACAAACATTTTACTTAAAAGCAGATGAAAAAGGGTATTACGTTATAGGCTCCTGTTGGTGCAGAGGGATTTTTGATTTCAAGATGCAACTAAAGTACAGTTCTCAGTTTCACTTTAGTAGAAATAGCCCTAGAAATGAGGCTGATAAACACATCTAAGAACACTGGTTGCTTTCTAAAATTCCCGAAGCTCCACCATAAAGGTAATTCTTAGTGTTTTAAGTGATTGCATTTTAAGGTACATAAATATGGGTTATCCAAATATCAATGCTATAGTAACATCCTGAAACAAAACAAGCACAAAGGTATAAATGCCTAAACTGGAGGAAACTTGAAACCCTCATGTTAACTCTTAAATGTATTTCTAACTTCTGAAGACAGATTGGTAGGCAGCCATTTTTTTGTGTCTTAAAATAACTGGGGGCATAGTTAAAATTTTATACATCAAGTGATTGCTATTATTGAATGTTGCAGGTGAGATGTTATTTTTAGTTTATTTGAAATGTTTGACTGGAAAAGGGGGAGGGGAAAGCAAATATTTGAAATTTGGAAAACCTTAAACCTTTTGGTAAGAAACTGTAACTTTCACTTACATTTTAAGGATATAAAAGGTTGATAATTGATGTAGTTAAATTGAACAATAACCATTGGTGACTATGGAGCAGGTAATTATAGCCTGCAGAAAAAGTTATAATCTAGGAATTGAAAAAATAAAATCCTGAAGTTGTTTAATTGCATCAATTTCTGTATTTATGTGAATTTATAAACTGCAGTAAGTTTTGAATGAGGTTAATCTTGTTTAATATAAGTAAATGAGTCTGTAGACTGTGATCTCCCCAAACGAAAAAGTACAGTACTTGGAATTGTGTTCTTTATGGTTGTAGTGTTGGTAAAGCACTAATATGCAGAAAATAAAGGAATTACACAGTGCAGTTTCTCACGTTATGTTACTCGCTTGAACTAGATAAGTGGGACGTGTGGTGTGTCGGGCTATGTTATTCTCCAGGGTATATGGTAAAAAGTGACTTAATTTGGAAGTCACCTGACTCAAGAACAACAAAAAAAATCAGTTTGGTTCCTGTAAATGCTGTTTGAGGTGGTTCGTCCTGTTTTAGTTTCACCAAACTTAATCTGACTGTATGATAATTTAGGACACAGCAAACAATTTTTAAAAACTGAGGTCCCATAGCAGTCTTTATTCTGTTTTTTCCAAATTACAACCTGAGCATTTTTAGAGGTACATAATTATATCTAAAGAACTGGCCTTAAGTCTTAATTCTTTACTATAAACATTTGGATTTTAAAGTTTCTTTTAGAGGTCAAATTGTCCTATAGGAATGGCAGAATTGTATTCATTTAAAAAGTAAAATAGTATCATACAGGATAAGGTCAGAAGAAAGAAAAGTAAAAGATGAGTAACTTGTTGGATAAAGGGGTTTTAAAGACATTCTAAGCCTTTCCTATATCAGCAATTTTTATAGTTTGATTTTGGAGTGTCTTCATGTGATCTCTAGTATGATTTAACCCCCATGTTAATATTTATTAATACATTTAATACTGTGGTTAAGATACTGTGACAGTAGCAATTTGTCAGTGTTAGCCATAGAAAATATTTTCCTCTTTAGTGTGTTTTTACGCTTTAATATAAGCTTAGAAATACAGTAGCCATAATCTGAATGGTGATACAGCTTACAAAATTCCGAAAGTTATTTTCTCAGTACCTTGTCAAATATGTATCAGGATTACAAGTAAGGCAAGTCTTGTATCTTTCCTTACAGGTAAAAACTGTATTTGTAAAATCACATACAGCAATTATAAGAAATTTTTAAGTCTGACTAGTCATGGAACATGATATATTTGGAGTTAGTAGCTAACCTTTTGCTTTAATTAAATGGTAGGGACTAGTAAAGGTTACAGTATTAAGACAGTTTACAAAAATGGAATGTTGGGAGATGGAGCCATAGAAGAAGCAAGGAACTTCTTGCTTTGCCAAAAACTAAAGTTGTCAGACTAGATTAGTGAGTTGAACAGGTAGGGAACACACAGGTGAGATCAAAGAAGGCAGAACATGTCTGTAGAGGGATTTAGGAATTAAATTTGCAATTAAATATAACTCAAGCAATGGTAAATTTCAAGAGAATGAGACTGTAAGAACCTCACTTTGTGGGACAATGAGAACATTTTTAACCTTTTCCCCCTTTATTTGAAATGTTTTATGAATACTTGAAAAAAATTCAAAATGAAAGTTTTTGTCAGTCTTGTCCTTGAATATCCTTCATTTTAGAATACATATTTTGTCCATAGTATTTGTTTTATAAGTTTGAAGTTTTTTTTTTTTTTTTTTTTTTAATTGAGAGCCTACTAATATGCCTGGTACTGTTGAGGTGCACAAGATTGACAGTGAAAAAACAAAAAAATCTGCATTCATGGAACTTAAATGGAGGGTTGGGGCAGAGAACAAAGATCAGATGATAAATCAAAGTCTATTAGGTGATATGCTATATGTTATACTGTGTGTCATAAATACACACACACATACCAGGGAACAGGTAGGTGTGTTTGGAGGAGAAGTCATTGAGGTGATGTTTGAGCAAATACTTCAAGGAAATTTTTGTTTTGTTTTATTTCACTACTCTGCACTTATTGGTAAGATATTTCTTCAAGGAAATATTAATATTGGTATAATTAACATAGTAATAGAAAGATAATAGTATAGTGTAAAGCAGAGGTGGGAAAACTGCCAAGGTCAAATCTGGCTGCAACCTGTTTTTTATAGGGACTGCTAAAAATGGGTTTTACATTTTTAAAGGATTTTAAAGTTGTGATAAAAAACCATGAATATGTGATGGACAGTAATATTGCCTGAAAAGCCTAAAATATTTACTATCTGGCTCTTAGAAAAAACATAGAACCCCAAGAGTAAAGCCAATTTTAAAAACATTAAAATATATATATAAAGACATATAGGAAATCGAACAATTGAAAGTAAAAGACCATTGTTGAATGACTCTAATAAAAATTTTAGGGCACAGTGACATAGAATTTCCACATCTTATACATTTAGTTAGCTGAGACTTGTTACTTAGTAGTCTAACCTGGATTTTTTTCTAAATGAATTTAAATGCTTGAAATCTAGTTTCTCAGTTTTGATTTTGACATAGTTCTTTAAAACTGTGTGAATCACTTCATTTTAAATATTTCTCTTATTTTTATGGTTGTTTTACTGGTCTTTGGATTTCAGTTAAATGTGATTCTCTGTTAAGTGCCCTTTCTTCTGGATAACCTAGATTAGTTTGGTGTAGGTTTAGATAACATTTAACTGTGGCTTTTAATCCACTATTATGGTAATTAAGTGATGAGTCTATTATTTTTATGTTGAGAAAGTTTTAAGAGGAAGTGTTTTATTGACTTGGAGACTAATATGGTGCATGATATTTGGTTTCTTCCAGTATTATTCCTCTAAACAATATAAACTAGGAAAAATTGCTTCACACATGGATTATTTCTTGCCTAGTTATATAATATTAAATAATACTAAATACTAGGGTGAGAAATCTATATTTTTTTTGAGAAATTATAACTATTTTAAACTATTTAAACTATTACAAAGTTGTGAAACCTATAACTATTCTAGACTATTACAAAGTAATTTAGCAGAAGTTATGGAGGTAAATTTTCAAGACATTTACAAATGAACTTAAAAAAAGAAAAAGAAAACACGTGTAGTTCATAGAAAGACCTATGTGAAAGTAGTTACTTACGACCATAAAAGTTATTTTCCATTACAGCTGAATAGTCTGAGAAGGTCATAGCATATGAGAGGGGAGAATTGTAGTAGAAGCAGAAATTTGGATCTTTGAAGTTTGTTACAATATGGCAAATCAAAGTGCTTTCTCTTCATGTCTTATTTTTTATTTTAATTTATTAATTTTTTTTTGAGATGGAGTTTTGCTGTTGTTGCCCAGGCTGGAGTGCAATGGCATGATCTTGGTTCACCGCAACCCAAGGAGGCTCTGCCTCCTGGGTTCAAGTGATTCTCCTGCCTCAGCCTCCCAAATGGCTGGGATTACAGGCATGTGCAACCACACCTGGCTAATTTTGTACTTTTTGTAGATACGGGTTTTCTCCATGTTGGTCACTCTGGTCTAGAACTCCTGACCTCAGATGACCCACTCGCCTCGGCCTCCCAAAGTACTGGGATTACAGGTGTGAGCCACCATGCCTGGCCCATGTGTTGATTTTTAAGTTTGTTTGTTTTTGAGATGGAGGCTAATTCTGTCACTAGGCTGGAGTGCAGTGGTGTAATCTTGGCTCATTGCAACCTCCACCTCCCGGGTTCAAGGGATTCTCCTGCCTCAGCATGCTGAGTAGCTGAGACTACAGGCACTTGCCACCATGCCCAGCTACTTTTTGTATTTTTGGTAGAGACGGGATTTCACCTTGTTGGCCAGGATGGTCTCGCTCGCTTGACCTCATTCATGATCTGCCCACCTTAGCCTCCCAAAGTGCTGGGATTGCAGGCATGAGCTACCATGCCCACCCAAACTCAGAAATTCTCAGAATTGTATGTTAGCATTTATTGAATATTTGCCATGTGTCAGGCATTGTTCTAAGCATAGAATGGGTATTAATTCTCTAAATCCTCACAGCCACCTTGGGAGATAGGGCTCTCATTTTATAGTTGAAAAAACTAAGGCATACAGAGGTACGTGTTAATAAGTACCACGGCCTGAATTTAGATTCGGGTAGTCTGTGCTGTATTACAAATGTGACTGAGGTGAACCAGTGCTTACTCATGTTCTTAGTATTTTTTTTGGTGTGTGTTTTCTTAAACATATCTTGCTTTAAGTAAATTTCCCACAATTTTCTTATTTGATCATCAATAAGTTTTGAGTCACTGTATAATTTGAGTCTTCTGTGCATGGAGAACACAGCATTAGGCTGTTTAAGGAACTTTTTTTTTTCTGTAAAAATCAAATTTGCTTGATAGTGAATTTTACAGATCATTGTGAAAAATACAAAAAAGTTAACATTTTCACTGAGCTGATTATTTGTATGCTTATTTAGATGTAGATTTCTTTTAAGAAAAGTTTTATATGGACTGCTTCATGAATTTGTGTCATCCTTGCACAGGTACCATGTAATCTCTGTATTGTTTCAATTTTAGTATATGTGCTACTGAAGTGAGCATCCCAGTCAAATTTCAATTTTAGATAAACTTTTTTGGAACAAGTATATCCCAAGCAATATACTAAAATTATACTATATATATATACATATATATGTATTATATACAAAAACTTAACTTGAAATTTAACCAACCATCCTATAGTCTACCTATAATCCTATGTCTGACGGAGTGGTAGGAAAGAAGGTAAGATTCAAAACAAAAGTTTAAAAATAATTTTAAAAACCCTCAAGAACTCTACCAAGTAGTTTGGATATTATTTTGTGTGTAATGGAAGCCACTGAATTTTTACATATGTAAATTTTTATATATATATATCTATGTATATATATATATATCAGGAGAGAGTCACAGTGTCACAATGTTTAGCAGTATCTAGTAGCTTTGTATAGAATCGTGTATCAAGATAATGGATAGAGGTTGGAAGAAAGAAGTCCTTTCAGGAGACTGTTGATAATTCAGTGGAGAAAATGAGGGCCAAATATAGTGTAGAGAAAATGAGAAAGAAGTAAGATAATGAAATAAATTGATGAAATATGTTACTTGTTGAGGAAGAGTGAACAATTTTGATCTTTTTAAAAATTTTTTTGAAACCCAGGCTGGAGTGCAATGGCATGATCTCAGCTCACTGCAACCTCCGCCTCCTGGGTTCAAGCGATTCTCCTGCCTCAACCTCCCAGGTGTGACTAAAGGCCACCACCACTACACCCAGCTAATTTTTGTATTTTCAGTAGAAACGGGGTT